ATAGTGGTGAGAGTTTAAAATAATCACACGCACTCAGCAAAACCTTCCGTTTTTGGCCTAACATACTGCATATGATATATTTTACGTAACGATTTAGGTTTTATTGAATTACCATCACCATTGGCTGCACAAAAGTATTTAGCTGGAATTATTATGCCTGTTATCTATTGTTAAAGGTCGTTTTTGCTCAATTTTACACTAAATTTTGTTTATAGTGCCTTAAATCAAGATTTTTGTATTTGTTGTGCACATTTTTTGTTGCTGGGCGACTTAGACAAAAATGGTCAGTTCCTTCATTATTAACCAAATACCATTTTGTTGATTTCACCAAACATACCGTGCTTTTCTTGTGATACTAAAACTGATGGCACATAACGGGACTAAGGGCATAAATCTACTAAACACCAAAAACATTAATAAAACATACAGGGTTTATACTAATTACTACAAGGTATGCAGCTTATAAATTTAGCTTAAATTATTTCAGATCAACCTTAATTTTTCAGTCCTTAGTATTTCACGTAATTTAAAAATCCACTACACGCTTTTGCGCTTGTTTTCGTTTCGATTGATGTTTGTAGTGTAGAGCGTTTTGTGTGAATGCGTTTGAAGAAAAGCGAGCGCAGCATTTCACTAAGCCACTGAGGTTATGTTAAAATACTTACAAATCGACCTATAAAGTATTTCACTGTGCTTTGGTCCAAAATTATTGTAGAAATAAGACAACCTTCCATTCACAAATTTTATGCATCTTGTCGAAATGTTTGCGCATAACGGTAACATCATGCGTAACGGTAACAACGAATATTTTCACAGCGACGACTATCTAAATTTCTTTACGTATTTACTGAAATGTACGCGCAAGACTCAATTTTGACCACGAGGGGGCGTAGGTGGTCAGATTCGACCAAGTCACACACACGTCGACAAACATCGATGAGCTTTTAATGGGGGAAAAGGTATTTAAATTGGGAGAAATTTCATGATTGGCAAAGGGGGGAAAGAAAATAATTTAAAACCCCCTAAAGGAATTAACATTTACGCGTTGTTTGCCGGGTTTTCCATGTTTCTCTTTAACGTTCCTTATATAATTACCCGCTAAAAATGATACCAGCACATCCTTTAACAAACCCTCCAAGAGAACACGCGGCAGAAACAGGGAGGACGTCTGAAGGTCTAGCCGCTGTGAACAGATATAAACAACGATTAACAACGGAGGAAGCATCCGAAATATCTTTGTTTTTAACGGAAGGTGGATTGAGTCCCCGTCGCACAATCACGCCTTAATAAAATTAATCTGCCATGATGCAGGTTTCTTAGTGCCCACAAAAAGGGCTGCAGTTTAAAATTCGTAAAATTATCCATAAATAAGAACAAGGACGTTTTGGCCATCGGGTTACACAAACAAAATAATTGGGCTGTTTAAAATATTTTGAGAATAACTCCTTAAATTTTTGGTATGTAAAAGCAAATAATACCAAAAATAATTAATATTGAATTGAAATTATAGGCTATATGTATAATATAGAGTTATATTATTATATTATATTGTAACTGTAATATATATATACTAACTATATAACTATAATGTGTAATGTGAAGTATTTGACATGCCTATTGAGACAAATTAGGCAAAATATATGAAACAGATCAAATTTGGAGACAGTGAAAATATTTCCGTACATAATCAAGCGCGTTCCAGTTCTCATTTAACGACACAAACATGCCGGTTCCTGTATTTCCCAATTATTCATCGCGCAGGAAATAAATCGAAATAAATCGTCATTTATATGCAATGAAATATACAGCCAAGAGAACAAACAGAAAAGATCAAATGAATAGGGTCGTATGTTACTCAGTCTCCGGCGTTCGTTCTCGCGGCTTATTTGTAACTTAACCAAGAGGCCCGAATGGAACACCATAGGATCTATGAGATCGATAGACCCTCCTCTCATCTCGTATTTCTCGTCTCCTTTGTTGCGTTTGGAAATATTACATTTTAGGACAATAATAGCGTCGTCGTTCCTTTGCAATACCGAATCTGGGTTCATCCAAGTCGGTAAAGACAATAAGAAACTAATAGCGCATATAAACTCTTCGGCAAGATTTATATTACACGCCCACTGGCCGTAAACATAATGAGAACATCATATCGCTTAAGTTCGAATTAATTCTTAAATGATAAATAAATAAATAAATAAAATACTAACTAGTCATATTCAGAATTTGGTTTTTTCACTGTTTGATCCTGACTTGCAGCTCTAATTAAAATACACAGACCACGTAACTCTTCCGTGATTCCAAATAATCTTCAATATTTTTATGCAATGACATTAGCAAATTTAATTAAAATCAAAAAAACGGAAATATTTTCCATTCCAGGCCTCCCCAGACACAAGGCGGGGTTTTATTTACAGATAGAGAGAGATTTTCTTCTATTTTGTTGCTAAACCCAGTCAAGTTTGCTTATAATTTTTTTCTTCCTTTCTTTTGGTGCGGATTTCACTTGCCCACCAAATTGCGACAGAATAGCGCTTCCACTGGAGAGTGCGGGAAGCGGCCCAGCGCGCCCGTCCAAGCGGAGATGGAAAGCAAACAATCCCATGCGTTATTTCACGGGTCACGGAAGGCAGGGGTGGGCCTCTTGAGGAGACTGTGCAGGGAATATGTACACTGTGCATCCACTTGGCCCGATCAAGCATGTGTGCTCTGGTCATCGCGGTTCGACAACGGCAAACTTTCTACGACAAGAAAATTTCTTACATTTCCCAACAAACAGCTATGAAACCGCTGCTCTCACGTGGACTACCAGAGAGTCGATTATCAGTAACAGCCATAATAACCAGTAATCCTACTACTGCATATTATTCCAAGAGAATATTTCGCAAAATTGCCATCCGTTTAGCCGTTTGTTTATGAGCAATGGCAATGCGGCTCTACTTTCATGCTTTGAGAAAATAGTCCTGATTAAACTGATCCTTCCAAATCACGTTTTACGGTGAGATAAACCCCCAAGTATTACGGGTAATGTGTTGAATAATATTTCATGTTTTCCAATATGTTTGTATTTTTGCTGAGTTATTTTAACATAAATTTCAGCAAGATTCTATGCAGTATTATGTCTCCTGTAAATCTTCTTTTTTTGTTACAGTGACAGTAAAACATTGAGGAAAACGCGACAGAAAACATAAGAATTATGTTATAAATAACGTGACACACTGTGGTCTTAGCTAAAATATTTTTTTCATTTTTCACAATAACGACTTTCGAAGTTCGAGGTTTGAAACAATCGGGGCTCATTTCAGAATAATGAAATTATATTAAATTCATTTAAAAGTCCGATTAGATCAAGAAATTGACTTCAATTTGCCACTGACGCGTGACATTATATCTACATTGTATCTTTTGCAAGCTTCGCATTAGGAGACGTCAGCTATGCATTTTCCGTCACTGTACTAACAGCTAAGCTCAGTGGTGGGTATTTATGTACTTTAATTAAAAATTCTTTCATTGCACGGGGTCCCACTCGACTGGAAAACAGACACACGAACCTGTTGCATCACACATGTCCTTTAATACTATATTTTAGAAATTTACCGCATTGCTTAATGCGAATGGACACGCGTATAAACACGTGTGGTTTCAAAAGGCCACTAATAACTGGGAAAAAATGCGTGATAGGTGTTTAAAATGCGAGAGATAATTTGCCCTTTTGTAAGATTTCTATTTGTAACGTATCCATTGTGTTCTCTTAAAATATTAGCAATTTTTTTGTCTACGATGCCAAATATCACGAAATGAGAAGTCAATCAATAGCATGGCCGCTCCGGTGGGCGTGTTCAGTCATAGCGGTACATGTATCTGAAGCCAGACAGGTTAACGTGTCCTGTTCGCTCTTTTCAGCAGAAAACGGCCACGAGTCGTCCTGTGCTACCAAAAATCGTATTTCGAACAAATAGCGAACAGTGCACACATAAGATGCTGATAACAAAATGACCTTGAAAGGGTTAAACTCCTGTCCGGTCCAAACAAATGAAACACGATTACTAAGCATGTTTTTCTATGTGTTAGTCCTTAACAAATAGAAATGATTTCGTCTATCTAAATGTACACCACTTTCACGTGGAGTACAGTAAAATGTACATCATCAGTTATTCTCAACATGTTATATGCAAAAAAAAAAAAAAAAACCTGTACTCTCATAAACCACAACCGCGTTTTCCTGGTAACTAAAACTCGGCTACCGACTCTAACAACCCGGCATTATCATTGTCCGGAAATTTTTTCGGCGAATCAATAATGCGCACATATTAAGCAGGTACGACCCAAATATAGCACAGATCATCTTAGTCTCATCGATGTGTAAGCCTGCATCATATCACACTTAAAAGTCGCCGATAATTCGTGGAATGGAAAGTATTTAAATGGCACAGCAACCTCTGTGCAGGCCTAGGCGCAGTGATGCTGCCCGTGCTGGGGCCCGACGGGCCGTGTATGAGAGCCCGTCTGGTTGGTCATCGCGACGCGGCCCCCTCTACCTCTCCGCCTTCTGAATCTCCCTGACATCAAACTATAAACACCAATACATTCACTTCAAATACATAAAATAAATAACTAATGCAGATTTCAAACTACACTGTGCTCCACACGATTTCAAAGGACGAAAACACGTGATATAATATCGGGGGAAAAGGGAAATAATACCAAAACCAAATACACGATGATAAATAACACCGCACTGTAGACATAAACTTATTTAACTTATATCTACAAGGCGAATGACCCTCCTTCACCTGAGAACATATCCTGTGTCTCTCGTATCCGCCTTTTCTTGACATTATATATATATAAAAGGTGCTGTTGCATTCACCTTCTTGGCGCGCAGATTTCCGAAGAGGGTGCGGCCCGGCCAAACTGTTGCTCGCTTGGTTAAAACATCTGTCGTATTTCTGGTTATCCGACGGTTATATCGAAGTAAAATGGGCGCATCGGGTTCGTACCTGATCTCCCGGTCCTATGCGATTGATGTTTTTGGTCAAAATTCATGCTGGTGAGCGAGAGTAGAAGAGATGGGAAATTTTGTTAAAAAAAAAAAAAAAGAAAAAGACAATAAACTTTTCCCCTCTTTTCTATTGAATCAGTGGCCTTTGGCGAGTTGCAGGTTGAAATTATTCGGCTCTTCCGCTCCCTGTCGCGCTGTTGCGGTTGATCGCTGGGCTGAAACTAAACGTTTTAGGTGGAAAAAGGACTGAGAAGGAACCGTGAAATCATTAAAAGACTAAAGAACTGCTCGCAATGTGCGCTCATGTCCTCTACCCCAACAACATCGCATGCCTTCTCTAGGCACGGCCTTGGTCCCCACGGTCTGACATCTGCTACAAAGTTCCTCTTTACTAAACTTTTTCTCCTTCCCTTAAGATGTCTTCCTCCACGGCACATTGCCGAAGAAGAGAAAGTAGACGCAGGTGTCACCATAGATGCTGTTTACCAGTTTTTTTTAACTGTTAATCGTGAGTTTCTGCGGTCGACTTTTAAAATATACATCCGATCAAATGTGTTAGGTCGCTGGATGTTTTCGCCCTTAAATGCTTTGAGGTTCTCGAATAAGAAACGAAAGCAGTGCCGCCGGTAAACTGATATTGCAACTTGACGAGCTCAGCTATCTAGTCAACTAGTGTTACTTTTGTAATCGGAAAGGTATTTTATCTGTTTCAGTAAAACAGTATCCATGACACGTAATACATCACTTCTTCCAAAGGCCTTATATACCACACAACTTTCAAAGATTTATGGCAGGGTCACGCGACTCCTGTCAGCCATTTTTTTTCTGTGAAATAGGCTGCGTCTGAAAGTTGAAAAACTGTTACATTGATTATGGTCGAATGATCATAATATAAACCTATAACTAATAATGTTCATAACAGGAAATGAATGAGTGCGGAGTTCATACCTCTGCGGTGCTTAAGTAGTTGAGAACAATGGAGCGACACAATTGATTGTTGTGGATTGATTGTTATGTGTCGGGCCGCCCGACCTGACCCTCAGATATCTGTGCATGTCCTATGACCGTGGGGAACAAAGAAATTGCATTTATGGCCGTCATCAAGTTTGCTAATAGACAATTGCCGTGGCATACTCCCTCTTGCACTCCGAAGTATAGCTTAACTAGTATCCCACTGGAGTTCAGAAAAGTCCCGATTTATTCTATATATTCGACTTTTAAAATTATTATTATTATTATTATTATTATTATTTAGCGTAGATCGTTAATGTCAATTGACTGACATTCGACAAAAAGCCGTTCCAAAGTAATCAACTGAAAATTAAAAAATATAAATATAGCCATCAAATGAGAGTATTTTAATGGCCTTCATGGGAGCGAAATTTTACATCAGAACATGTAATTATACACATCAATGTGTTTCAGGGTATTTACATAGGCACGCATTTGTCAAGATGTCACATATGTCAGAAGTATTACGCTAGCAATTTATTTTAAATATATCTATTACATACAGACCCAAGGTATGCTGGAGCATAAGGCACATTTTCTAAACACACCGCACACATCTCAGCTGTTTAGCCGTGAACTTTTCATTTCAGCGGCATAGCCGTGTATTTCAGGAAAGTTAAAAAGTGTCATTGTCACTTTTGAGTCCACGCGGATATTACGCATTCTGCGCAGACTCGAATAATTTTGGATTTGCATGATCTCGTGCCGGTCCCATTTTACAAGTCAATGCCACTTCAGTCCTTCACAAGAGAGGGCTTATATGTCCCAGGGACCAAAACATCAAAGCAATGTTAAACTGTGACCTTGTCTCTCAGTTAGACCGTCAATACAGCAGCCTATTGGTGCAAACAAAACCAAATTTGAACGCCAGCGTATTTTACTCCTTCCTGCCACAATTTGTATCTGCATCTGGGGGGCCTCGCGGCAAACTCTAATCCTGTCATATGACGCTTGCACCTTGCATCAGTAAGAAGAAATCCATCTACACGCAATATGGTTATAAAATATAAAATTCCCCGGGGTCTGTAAATCTGAAGTACATGGTTTTAAACGTAATTATAATTACACTTGTGCCTGCAGCGCATGGTTTATCCACTTCGTAAGCTACAATAGCAGCCGCGTTCACATTTCCACATTAAAGGATCTCCTTGTGACGACCTGCGTAATATCACTTTAACGTAAACCCCAAGCAGACACCTTTGTACTGGTCTTCCCGTCGTCTTTGCTAGTATTTTGAAAATTAATTAAAATCCCGTCCTCAGCGTAAACAGCCGAGAGGTGTGTGCTGATGCTGTTTAATACATCCGAGTGGTTGAGTCAAACCGATTAATCAACAGTCAGCTTTAATCAGGCAAATGTGGTGCGACCGGGTAGTTCAGCGTATAAAATATTTAATTGAATGTAAGTTTATTGAAAAACGAAATTGTGCATTTCAAATTAGTAACTTGAATTTTCTAAACCCTCTATACACAAAGCTAGGAACTGCACAGAACTACCTAATGTTTTATTCAATGAAATGCGCGTCCATATGAAGACTTCAGTACATATTTTATTCTGAATTCTATTTACCTTGTCAAAAAAAGTATTTTCCTTGGTGTATTTGGTGAATAATCATTTCTAAAGGTAAGCATGGCTACTGATGCTATAATGACCTGTTAGGCTACTTTTCTTAAGGATTTTTTTGACATGCAGCCATATAAATGCATGTACTACTCAAATCGAAATGTAATCCATAAATTCATTTCTAATGACTATGTAGCCTGCCGAGGTGACTAAAAGTCTTCCACCTAAAACAAACATACATTTCGTCTTTAAAATATACTTAATTTAAATTTATGAGAAAAGTGAAGGTATGATTTCTACATCAAACGAGCACGTGTCGTATACTTCTATTGTAACTTAAGTTGTTTCATATAGCCTATTCACAGAAAAAAAGTAATATTTTTAAAGGGCGTTGACCGCTATATAACTCAGGATTCGAACTAAGTCCGCCGCATAGCGTTTTGTCAGCAGCCAATGACAGCATGGTGAAGTATTGATATTCAGCGTAGTATGATACGTAAAATTCCGTCTACAAATAGTTTTTAATGATGCTTCTCTGTGATTTCACGCGTTTCTTTATGCCCAATATGTTAAATAACACATTGGAAGTTATAATAAAATCAACAAACGAATCAAAGAACATACAGAAAACAAGCAGATCGTTGATTTTTGAAAGCTACGCCGAAAGTAAAAGGTTAATATGTATTAGCTATATCTATTAGGCCGAAATCAGATGTTGTGTGATAGAAATTGAACTTTTACAATAAAACTGAATATGATTAAAGTTCACTGGGTCTTTAATAAAAATCGATGCTAAACGCTCGATCATTTTATTACTGTCTTTCAGTTGAGTGGCTCCTAAAATATTCGATTTAAAAATCAATACTAAGCATCCAGTGAATTCCATCAGTCCTTCATATCGTAGCCAATACATAATGGAATGTAAATGTGATTTTTAGTAATTATCCAATTAAGGACACACATCAGACGCTAAACTTGGCAGATTTGCAGTGACCCCTTTTCCAGCGAATAAGTTAGCTTGCAATCCCAGACCCTTCCGCAAATTCCTTAACAAACTTATTGGCCTTAGTTACGCAGTTTCATGCTTCCTTTATCAGGTATGACTTTTAAAATAGCCAGTGCCGTCTATAATCGGGCTACAATTTTAAAAACAAGATTCTCGCAAATGAAGCCAGTGCGCGCTCCAAGGACCCACTTAGGGGTAAAAACAGTGACGCCCCGTGACATGGACAACTAGACATAATTAGTTTAGTTAATTCCGTCCGCAATCACGTGGAATGCAGGGGGGGAAACAAATTACTTTAATTCTTTTGTAAAACTGCGTCAGCTGTATATGAGATAAATGTTCAATAATGCAAACTCGCGGAAGGAGTGTCCTACTTTGATTTGATATTTAAGAAATTGGTTTTATGAGATCTACAATGCGCACTGTATTATTTTCTGGATTTGTAATCTTTTTAAAGGTTAGGGTAGCGATAGCTAACAACATTGGTATCTAATCATCACGTACATCCTTCTGCTAGGAAAACAGCATAAAATACGGTACAAATCTAACATTAGATGAAGAAAACGTAGGCCTATCTACGTAAGGGTAAGCAGCGGTAGCTGAAATATTGAAATAAACAAACATTATTAGCTTTGTCAGTACTGTTAATGAGAACGGCTTGCTCTCCTGGGTTATTTTGCTGTCACCTAAAACCGAAAAGTGGCTTACAGCAGGATTAATGCGTAATATTATTTACCTAATTTGTATTTAGGTAACAACACAGATTCCAAAATATGTATGATTCGAATTTTTGGTACCATGTAATCTGATGTTTATTGTAATTCAGTGAGTATAACTGAGCGTTTGATAGTGGTTTTGGTCTTTCCTCATAAATGTTTTAGGCTGGGAGATTTCCTCAAATGAGTTCTGTGAGGACCCCTCGCTGGTCATGTGGAACTGGAAATAATTACACGAAAAGCGAGACACCACAACAAAAGAAGCCAATTAGTCACAACAAGCAAACAAACAAATAAAGGGTGAACGATGTAGAAAAGCTTTAATCACGTTCACCGAAAAAGCGCGACCCATCGTTCCTTAACTGCACTTAAAAAAAAAAGGCAAAGTCGATTGAAGAAAAATAAAGTTTCCAGGATGGCGTGTGTCGCTTTTTCGGTGCCCCCGCGGTTAAATTAACACGATTAAAATTAAGCATGTCAACTTTGATTGTGTGAGCAAATTCATGCAAAGATAATGATGCCATTATCTTTTATTTATAAAAAATAAATAAAGCGTATTCAAATGTCCGTTCATTTTGTATTGTTGACTTTCCAGAATAGACAGGCCTATAGGCCTATAAACGAAGCTGAGGAAAATCTATTAAAAGTATGCATATAAAGTTAAATGCACAATACCTAAGGCGTATTTGGGTGGGTCCATTTAAATTTCGCGTTGTGACTCCAAAGACCCCCTCGACAGCGTCCTGTATATACAATAAAGTTTACTTTCTACGCATTAGTTAAAAATACCTTCAAAACCGTCGTACTTTTAAAAATGTAAGTATTTTGTAGATATGTAGGATAAAATACATAGGCCCGTATTTCAGTTTTTAAATCCCCTTTGGTATACTGTATAACTTGGAAACCAACACAGTGATACAGTGATATATGAGACTGACATTTATTTGCAAAACCACATTAACACGGCAGATTTCATATTGCCTGTGTCCTGGCAGCCTAATTAAACAAACGGCAGCGCGATTATCCTAAAATGAGCGATACACTCTTACGGGCGTCTTTAAAGCTC